TATAAAAAAGACGTGTGACTATCAGATTTATCGGAAGCGACACAAAGTTGTAAGGTAGAGTCAAACGTTGACTAGGGATAGCTCTAATATGTGCCTCTTGCAAATTATACAGTGATAACAGTCAGCAGGCATAAAGATAAATATTAGTGAAAAAATATTTGTTTCCTGTCAGTTAGATCTAGTGTGATTTCCTTATTATTTGGCAATATAGCTATACAATTATAGGCAAATTGAGTATTATATAAATTTGTATTGTGTGAAAATGAAAATACTAATTGTTTTGGAAGCTGGTTTCCAAATAATGGTGCTCTGTTATGGTGTTCCTAAGTTTGTTTCTGGAAAGAGATCTAATGTAAAGATTGTGTTTGTATTCTATTTATACATTCCTATTTTGGTCATGTTCATTTGTGATTCATTTTGGATATATTTTATCAATTTATCCTTGAGCGCCATTGGGGTAAGTGGACAAATTATTATTTCATTTTATTAATTTTTTTCTCTAAACATCTTGTCTGTTTACTTACTAATATTCAACCACTACCACAATTATTTGTTGTATCAGTATTCTAAAATTATTCCTCAACAATCCCTGGTCAATTTGATGTATAATATGTGTATATTGCACAGCAGTTAAAACAGTATGGTCTGTTTTAATGTGTTACACTTGTGACACTTCAAAATTGCATTACCACCCTCTCGGTCATCCGATGCTAAACCCCTTGGGACTTAAAGAGTTAAATGATAGCTTTTTAAATCTAAAAAAAAAAAACCCAAAAAAACTAAGAATAATTTGAAGAACAAAACTAAAAAGCAGGCAGATCTACAAACATTTGGAGTAACCAAGTGGAAAGAGAAAGCCAACCACAGAGATGAATGCAGGCATGTGATATCTGCATCAATGAACCTTAAGAGCTCGAAATACTGAAGAAGAAGCAGAAGAAAAGAATGCTGGTCTCTCATGCAAGAGACCCATGTTTGATCCTCAGTAGGACAAGGATTTTTTTTTCTTGGGATAAAAATGTTTAAAAAAAACATCCAAAATGGCACAGTTCCTGTCGGTTGCACTAGCCATGTAGTCTGAAATCCTCTTTTTTTGTTTGTTAGTTGCGTATCCTTTTACAGGACGTTGCAGAACCAACCCCAGCAGCCCCTGGCTGTTGTATGGTTTCTCTTGGCGAATTTACATCCAGTAGTTTGCCATTGCTTTCTAGACGGTCGGTCCCCTGAAACAACTGTTGAAACCAACACAAGGTGCATGGCCCGCAGCTGGGATCGATCCGACACCCCGGCATTAAGAAGTGTTTGCATCGACTTAGCCACAAAGCTATCCTGAAATCCTCATGTGAATAAAAAATAAAAGAGGACAACTGTGGTGATAATGTGATGATGATGCCAGGTCAATAACTATAAAGAAGGCAGCAACAGGGGGTGAAAATAAGGCCATCTTTGGTACCCTATTTATTTCTTTAAAAAATTTCAAAAAATGCAGACATAAAAAATGTCTTTATATTAAACTTTTAAAAGAAATTATGAAAATATTTGCTTTTAAGAGCATGACCTTAAAATTTGATATGCTTAAAAAAACATTCACATGAAACTCAATCAGGGAATAAAATAAGCTACAAGCAATGCATATAAAACATACACACCATGTAAGTAAAATACAAATTAATCTGTAGATTATACTGCTATGCAACTGCAGGCATGAGACACACTTCTGATGTATGGTGTTTGCCTTAATGTGTTCTCCTGACAGTAAGCATGATGATACTTTGAAGCTGAGTTTTGGCCAATATGCAAGCATTTTTAGATGCAGTTTTATTCATGTATTTATTCAACAAACACAATATTTTTTTTAAATAATTCTTTCTGCCCCAAGCAATTAGTGTACAATAGTAATACACAAATTTAATGAAGTTTAAAATAACAGCAACCTAAGTCAGTGCAGCTAAAGCAGCGAAAAAGGACAGAAGCATTTAAAGAAACAACCTGGACAGTTCAGTACACTTTAAGATCTCATTTGCTTGCAATGCTATTTATTGGGGATATTTACTAGACCTATATTTTTCAGCAAACTGGCAATCAACTGGCGATGAAGTCTGCATTTTTTTCAGACACCTTTAACTTCCAGAAAACTCTGTGGTAGTTAATTTTCCGATGACTGGGTTGACTCAGAGCTATATGGTGCGAATTAAAATTGATACCTTGAAAGAGATTTTAACAAAGGGCCAGTAGGAGACAGAACTTCTCCAGCTCTAATTGAGAGAATCAGTTTCATCGTGAAAGGTTTCATCCCATACAGCTTTGTCTTTCTCAGCAGAACAGCCAGCTGCTGGCTGACAGTGTTGCACAAAGCATGAACTCCACAGCTCCAGCTACAATCCTTAGTGATCTTCATACAAATTGTACATATTAACTCAAATATGTAGTCGCTGAAATGAGCCCACAAATTTCACAGCAAAAAGGCAAATGGCTTGAAAACTCTGCCATAGCGACTGTCCAGAAAGAGTAGAATGTGCATTGGTCATTCAAGGAATAGCTGATCAACATAAGGTGTCCCCATGTGAGTTCCAGGGCTCCATTTTGAGGAAAACAAGAAAAGACCTGCTGCCATGCCAGTTAGCATGTTGGAAGAGTCGACTAATTGGGAGCTTCCTTTAACTCTTTGAGTCCCAGGGGGTTTAGCATCACAGGCCCAAGGGGTAGTCAAGAAAAACGTAAAATAAGCGCATCTTGCATTCATTGGGCTTCTAGGCAGGAATCTATGAACGTATGATGCGTTCCTTGGGACTCAAAGAGTTAAAGTCAGAGTGCATCTGCCCGAGCAGCAAGGACCAACCAAATGCACACAAATAAGCCAGTAAAATAGATGTACATGCAAACTCAGGTCCTGGCACAAAGTCCAAAGTCCAAACGAACAAGCAGCCAAGACTTTCTGCCACAGCTTACAGCCGCAAACAAAGAAGAAGAGGAGGAGAAAATAAGGTGAAAAGTTTTGTATAACAAAAAAAAAAAGGCTTCATTAATACCCCTTTGGTAAGCACCATCATCAAATTTACATCAATACTGTCTGTATTTAAGGTTATTCAAAATGATGGATACACTTTGATTTATGTATACTTATTTTAATTTTCATTACACATGAATAATATACGTACAAGAGAGAGGGGAAGGTCTAAAGTTTTGAATATTACCATTAGAGCGCAGTTACGGAACCAACTTATTGTTTGGTTGGTTCCGCAATACATGCTTCTTTGTTACTAGGATGAGTTCGGCTACTGCTTGGAAGTTTGCCGAGCAGCAGACAGTGGCCATATTGAACAACTGTAACCTCTACTGGGGAAGTCAATAAATAAGTCACAAATGGTTATGGGACAGCAGGAAAATGTAGTCGGTGGTTTCTAAAGGTGGCAAAAGGTGACAGCAACATCGAACTTTATGTCTCCATTTATCCATTTGTTAGGTGGCGCTAGGTGGTGCAAGCGCATTCGCAACATAGGAAGAAACTGGCGACTGTACTTACAGAGTTTACTTTCAAAGAACAATGTGCTGTTGTGCTTTTTTTTGTTTTTTCAAAAGGGCTGCATGCAAAGGACATTCATATGGAACCATATTTATGCTGACAAATGTTTATCTCACAAAGGGGTGCACAGCTGGGCAAAAAATAATTTCTCAAGGACGCTTTAAAATTGTTGATGAAGGCTGCTGACTTAAGGAGTATGCTCCCTTATGACAATGCCAGACCACATACGGCTCGGTTAACTCAGCAGAAAATTAACCATCTAGGGTGGTAACTTCTGGAACATCCACCTTACAACCCTGACTTAGTGCCGATTATTTCCACCATTGAAAACCCACCTTGGAGGGAGACATCTTAGTGAAAATGTGGTTTAGAAAACAGAACATGCCGTTCTATACAGCAGGTTTGGGAGGACTAATAAAATGATGGGACAAGTGCATCAATGTTGGTGGAAATTACATTGAGAAAAAAAAGGACAGTGTATGTGTAAAAATAAATTATTTTCAAGTTGTTATTGTCATTATTTTTTTTTTGGTGTAAAGCAACCATCTGTGACCTACTTATTGACTTCCCCTCGTAAGTTTGTAAACTATGGACCTTCCTCTCTCTCTTGTATTGAAGTTAAAGGTTACAGTCGAGAGGATAGACTTCATTTCCCCAGGTTTGATCCCATATAGCTTGGTCTCTCTCCGCAGAATGGATAGCCGCCAGCATCACACACAGCACGAACTCTGTAGCTCTGATGATGATCCCCTTTTGTATGCACATTATAATTAATGGAGATGTACATGAATGAGAGCCAAACTTTTTTTTAAAATGACCTTGGCTCCAAGGTCGACCCAGCCTTGAGTGGGTACCGGGTGCAGTCCCGAGAAGTAGAGGCAGATGGCATGATACTGATCACATTGCCCATCTTATGCCGATTGGTCTATAAAATATAGGTCTAGCCCTATATGCCCTTTACGCCTAAAGGCAAGTAAAAGGATCCTTGACCTTTTTTTTTTACTTGCATGAATGAAAGTGTTTATGGTTTATATATCGGATCAACATCATGGCACAAGGGTAGTAACCCATAAGTGCTCTGTTCTACTTCTAACTCAAACCTAAGTCTAAATTTGTGAAAGTGTATCCATCACTTTGAATAACCCTGTATATTATCTAAAACTGTGGCAGATCTGAAGGCAGTGTTGCTGTGTACATCTAACTAGTCTACAGTTAGTAACTTGTACACTAACTTCTACAGATGAGATTCCTTCCCAGTCACAACATTAAACACCTTGGTGCAAACACCTGTTGCCATTTGTGACTAAGTGAGATAAATATTTTAAACTGCAGCACTTTATTACGCAGATGTACAAAACTTAACGAACACAATTGTTGGTGTTTAGCACCATATGTTCTCAAATACAAAAACAAAATATATGCAAATTTGTACAGAAAAAGTACAGTACTGAAATTATGCCATATAATCATAATGTCATTAAGGTTCCTTATAAAAACATGCAACAGCATATATAAATAAAATGGGCTTTACTGCAATAAAATTGAGAAAAAACTTTAAAAAAAAAAGGGAAAACATGAAGTAAATGTCAGTTTTCCAAAATACCATTAAAATAGACAAATCTGCCTTTATTTCTATCCCTCTGTAAGTTCCACTGCAGTGACATTCTAGTTATATTATTCTCAGGTTTTCTCATTGTGTTTCTCATTCAAATCCAGCAGCACCTCTTGATTCAGTGGAATTTGTTTAGTTCTCTTTCAAAGCTCAAAAATAGTTATTATATCATAGCATTTAATTCCCTCTGTTCTGCACAGGCACCAGTTAATGATTGTTTGTAGTTTGTTAGTAATTGTAGTGGGTGTGCCTCCGCTTAATTTCAGAAACACTCATATGTATAATGTAATAAAATTGTACAAACAAATTGGCAATAAAATATAATTTTCATGAGTCTACATAAGCCTTTATGCAACCATTAAATAACAATCATTCAAACACTACAACAAAGTTGGACAAAAATAATGGAAGAGAGAAGTAGGATATAGTTAGGCACATCTCTATTCAATTCTTGTTTCCTTCATTCACTCACAGTGACACTGTTACTAGTTACTATTATCCTTTATGTGAAATAATATTAGATACATTCTAATATTTTGTGAAGTAGTAAGTTTTTTGAAATATTTATAATTATCTCTCAATAACTGAAATGCATTAACTGCTTATATGTGCACAATCTGTAGACATTGACAAAATTCTGTGAGCTTTTTATGCAAATTAACCAGTTTCAAAAATGTGTTTAAAGCTGGGGCGGGATACAATTTTACTGGTCCCCGAAGTTGGTGTAAAATTACTATATAATTTTACCCTCGAGTTCACAAAATATCAGCAAATAACCACTAGCTTGAACAGACACATTTAGGAATTTACAGAAGGGCTGCAGATGGCAAATGTGTCTGGCCAGGGGCGTATCGAGGGACACAATCTTAGATGATCCTATAAAAATGTTGTGTTACGAGTAAATCTGGGCGTTTTGGTTGTAATTTTTTGTTTAAGGACCAGGTTGGTAATTCTAAATTTGGCATATGGACCAAACATGGTTGCCCACCCCTGGTTTAAGGCAAGAAGATCAACTTTATTGTACCAAGTTTTATCCTAGATGGTTCAGTCTTTATCCAGAGTGTCGAGCATTCCACAAGCTCAAAAATTCAGCAGTGATTCCCCTCGGAACTTCAAAACATTTGAACTTCTGGACCAAAACATGGAGTCTCAAAAACTCACACCATTCAGAATGTCAGGCACATGAATTAAGCACTTCTACCATTGAATTTTGTAAATCATAGCTACCTAAACTAACCAGAATTGTGGACATTATATGTGAACTCACACCTGATTTGATTTGAAAACTGGAAAAACCAACAACTCGAATGATTATTGAAATATTCATCCACCAACCACAATGTGGATTACTTTTTTATGTGGAAGAGTTTACATAGAAACATATTTAAGCATCCGACTCCTCTCTGGTTCTTCTTCTTCTTCTTTCGTTCGCATGAAATAAATTGTCTATATCTGCAAAGCTGTCTCTAGTATGAATTTCACTGTCTTTTGTAATTCACTAAGCGGCCTGTAAAGTTTGACTTCCACAAGTGTCTCTTTTGGCCAAAGGTTTTGCCTGAAAGCGTTGAATCTGGGACAGTCTTGAAGGATGTGATCTGTTGTTTCAGGTGCCAGTCCACAAGTACACATGGCTGATTGGCCAATCTTAAATTTGTTGTACATGTGGGAGCAAAGTCGATTGTGCCCTGTTCTAAGGCGAAGGATAATGACTTGCTCTGGTCTGTCCATAATATGGTAATCATCTTGTGCCAGTTTCGGTGGCATTCTGATTGATTTGATCATTCTCTTCTTCTGTTGATAAGAGACTGGTATGTCAGGTTGTTCTTCAGTTGCACACTTCCTTAGCTAGTTTATCAGCTTTTTCGTTTCCGGGAACTCCACAGTGGGAAGGTATCCACTGCATTACTAATTTACAGCGGTTGCCTAGTTCGGATAATAGTGTCTGCATGCTTGGTAATTTTCCAGACTGGAGTGACTGAAGTACTGCTTTTGCATCTGTCAGGAATACCACTGGTTGTGAAAAATACCCTATATTTAGTAGTT